TCTGACACACGCCACACTCTCCTGTCTCCCAAGGAAGCCTGTGGGCTGTGGCCTGTAGTAACAGTACAAGTCAGGGCCTGACCGTCTTCTTTCTTTTTTTTTTCTTTTGGTCACACCCAGCAGTGCTCAGTGCTTTTTCCTGCCTCAGCACTCAGGGATCTCTCCTGGTAGGGCTCGGGAATATATGGGGTGCCGTGATCCAATTTTGGTTGTCTGCACAAAAGGCGAGTGCCCTGCCTGCTGTTCTGTCGCTCTGGTCCCATTCCAGGCAATCTTGGGGCTGAATGCCCTCTTTGTTGTTGCTCCCTGACTTGATATTGCACAACTTCACCTCTAAATTTCATTTGTGGGGGCCAGAGAGGTAGTTCAGGGGGCTGAGCACCTGCTTTGCACGGGGAAGTCCTACTTGAAATCCCTGGCACTTCCTAGTCCCCTGAGCATGAGAGCAACCCTCAAGCTCAGAGGCTCCGGTGGCCTCTCAGCCCTGGCGGGTGTGACCAAAAAACAAAAACAAATTTATTTTTTTTTCATTTGGAAAATGCAGATAATAACAACTTCTGCCTATAGCAACATGTTTGCTATATGCTCTGCATCCTGAGTACTGCAAAAAAAAAAATGAACAGTCTGCTTGGGATATTGCAAACACTACTAATGCTGATGTGACTCCTCCTCGGAGGGGTCATTGGGGAGGTTCTTGGTAAGAGAGATGCTCAGAATTCAGATCCGAAGCCAGTCAGAGCTTTGCCCAGTAGGGCACAGGGAAGCCGCCTGGAAGGAGCACAGACAGGCCGTGGGCCAGGGAGAGGCTTGGCCTCTGTATTCTGGAAACTCCGCAGATCGTGTGGCTGCGGTGGGGCTTTGAGGTGGGGGACTTGGGAGGTGACCGGAGAGCTTGGGAAACCTGTTGTGGAGGACACTCCCTCCGCGGACGTGTTTGAGCTTCTCCACCACTCACTTCCTGGGAGTGTGTGTGTATGACCTCGCATGACCTAGCATCTTAGTCAATAATTCCCCTGCTTGTGCAGAAGCCATGGAGGTGGAAATGGTAAGACTGCTTTAGACTCCAAGGCGAGAAACTTGGCGAGTCTGAATTTAAATCAAATTCCAGTAACTGATCGTTTCATTCCCTGAAGTGCCAGGCATTGTGCTGGATCCTTCTGTATCTTGTCTTGGGGCCACCTCCAGCAGTGCCTCGGGGTTCCGCCAGGCTCAGTGCTCGGGAGTCATTCTCACAGTGCTCGGGCTGTTACCAGGGATTGAACTCAAGCCTCTGACATGCAACGCTTGTACTCCATTTCTTTACACTCTCTCCCTGCTTGCTATGCTGTATACTTCTGTATATGTAATCTTGCTAGATCCCCACATCAGCTCCCTAAGTTGACATTGTCTGTGTTCCAAGAGTGAAGAAGCAAGCCTCAAGAAAGCTGTGTTGGGGGCTGGAGTGAGAGTACAGTTTGGGGGGCACTTGCCTGGCATGCGGCAGACTCACGTTTGCTCCCTGGCACTGCACGTGCTCCCCTAAGCCCCAACAGGAGTGGTCCCTGAGCACCGTCGGGTGTATCCCTAAAACCAAAAAAAAAAAAAAGTTTGCATCAGCATTTCAGGTGAGGGTGGAGGTGTAGTCAGTGCTGTCCCTCTGGGCATGCCCCCAGCAGTGGAGTGTGGCTGCCCTCACCCTGCAGCCAGAGTGCCACCCCATGGCAGCAGCAAAAGGAAGAGAAGGGAGGAGGGGAGAATCCCTGCGTGCACCAACTGAAAACAGCTCAGTCTTAACTGCGAAATCTGCCGTGCACCTGAGTTTGCATGTTTGGCAAGTACCCTGAAGATTACAACAATGCTCTAAACTTTAGGCTGGAGAGAGAGCTTCAGAGGGTGAGAGCATGCAGGAGACCAAGTTTCACTCCCTGGCACTTGACAGTCCCCCTCAGACAGAGTGTCTGATATTTGGGTGCTATGTTTCATTTCTCCTCACCACAGTCCTAGGAAGCAGATGTATCCAAGTGACTGGTGTTACAGTAGAGTAAGCTCTCACCAGAGGTCACAGCTATTGGGCACCTTCGCCAGGATTCCTGTGTGCAGATCGGGTTAACTCCAGACCCCTGGTGGTCCCAGCCCATTGTGCTGTGACTACAGCCCAGTGGTATGGACGCAGAACAAAGCCATTGGGGATTGTGCCAACGACCACTCTTGCCTTTGATGTTTTGCTCAGCTCTTCCTGCTCAACAGGTTGACCCATATTTTTCACCCCACTTCATTACAACACCGAGGAGGAAGCTTGGCAGGGAGTGCCCTTTCTGGGTATGTGGCCACTGAGCCGGTCAGTAGGATTGGAAGGTTTTAAATTGCCAGAGCGACCTGACCTATATTGGTTTTCCAATTGGTTTTCCAAAGTGCAGTGATCTTTTTTGGTTCTTTGCACTTTGGTTTCCTTTTGTTGTTGGTAAGACTCATCGTGGCACCCTTGGTTCTGTTGAGTGCACACTTCGTTGTGGTACCTGGGGCTGCATTTGGCATGCAGGGCGGTTCCCAGGGATCCCTGCAGGGCAAGGGTTCTGTCACTGAGCCTCATCCCTAGGGGTCTACACCTGGCAGTGCTCAGGACACTCCTGGTTCTGTGCTCAGGGATCACTCCTGGTGGCGCTTGGGGGACCTTGTGCAGTGCCAGGATTGGACGCATGGAAGGCCGGCACCTTAACCCTCTGTATTGTCTCTCTGGAACCCAGACACTGAGTTTGTGATGCCTTTTCACTTGACTTTCATCTTTTTGGCACTTCTGGGGATCTCACACATGCACCGCAAGTGCCCCACCAGTGCTTGCCACATTCCCAGCCTCTGAACTCTCTGTGCTTGGAATGACTTGGTAATTTTCAGTCACACACCAGAATTTGCTGTACTGAACATTGAGCTCCCTTTGTGTGGCTTTGTTGTATACATCTAAGAAATCTTGCAGTGAATAAGAACCCCGCCCTACTTTTATAAAAGAAAATGAATCACAGAACTGTGCAGTTCCTCGAGTGTTTCTGCGAGTGTTTCGCCTTGTGTGGATTCCACATTCTTTGCCACTGTTGTGCTGTCCAGGGTTTCCCCCTGCGCTGGGTAGTCTCCGGACCGTAGTTCTTAGAGGACTAGGGTCTGTGTCTCCCGGTTCTGGAGGAGATGTTGGTAATGTTTTATTCTGTATAAATGAGTATGGAGTTAGGGCAGGAGTTACAGTGGTACAAAGCTCATGGGGCCCTTCCTTTGTGTAGGGCCCTGCATACACTATGTTCTGTACAGCCTCATCAACCAAGAGGTGTACGTGCTATTATTACCTTCTCCACTTTCACTTGCAGGAAACGGACGTAGGGGAGGGCACTTTTCTCCAGCCACAATTCTGGTCACTGGTGAAACCCAGGCAGCTTGACTCTTGACCATGCTCTCGGGCCTGATGCAACCTCGTGGGCTGAGTTGCGTGCCTACGCGCCCGAGGTGTGGGTTCCGGCCCCTGCACCAGGAGCCTGGCTGCTCAGCACTTGTTGGCTGCTTTTCATTCTACCCCTCTCATCTCACCCTCACTGCTGCCTTTTGACTCGGAGCCTTTGAGAGGTTCAGCGTTTGGGGCTGGTATAATGTAGCCCTCTGCCTGGAGAAGCCCCTGCCCTTCACTGCACCCAATCTGCCAGCCGGGCCCAGGAGCTGCAGTTCTGCACCACTTACTGCAGGCTTTCCACACACAGTCTAATTTTTTTATTTTATTTTCATAAGTTTGTTCACATTAATTGATTGCATTCGGTATTTCAACACCAATCCCACCACCATTATTTCGAATTTTCCCTCCTACCATTCAAGCCTGTCAGCCAGAGGCAGATGCTAGATAATTTATTTTCTATTGCGTATTATGGATATCGTGAGAGATTAAGCGGCGTGCGATTCTGGATTCTAAAATTGTAAATGCTTGGGGTCCAGAGACATCTCTGTAGGAAGCTAATCTATTTTGAGATTCATTTGTCTCTGGATCAGGGCCATTGGTGCTCTGAGATGGCGCCCGGAGGCAGATCGTGGGCACGACAGCCAGGACCCCAAGTGAGTGTCGAGACAGGAAGCGACACAGGAAAAGACAGCTCGTCTCCACCACCCACCGCCATGAGGCCTGGAGCCAGTCCTTGAACCCACATACCTGGGTCTTGCTTTTGAAAGCTCGTGGCCATCAGAGTCTCATTTGGAGCTGGGGAGAGGGCACACCTGCTCCGTCTGAGGTGCCCCAGTGGAACTGACTCGGCACAGGCTCAGGAGAGATCTCCAGCGAGCTGCTGTCCACACAGCCTCATTTAAATCACAGCTGGGCCCAGAGAGAACTCAGTGGGCTCAACACATGCTTCTGCATGTACGAGACCTGGCTTCACTCCCCATCGCCCCAGACACTGCCGGGAGGGACCACCAGGCCCGGAGCCAGGGGTAGCCCCCACATTCCACATGGGTGTGGCCTAAAAAAAACAGACAAAAATAAATATCACCTGCTGTTTTGACCCTTCCAGTTCATAATCGGCAGGCCTAGCTTATCTGTCACTCATGTGTCTAATGGAATTAGTGATCCTGGCTAATGTTTATTTTTGTTTATTTTGGGGCCACACCCAGTAGTACCCAGGTTACTCCTAGATCTGCACTTAGGGATCACTCCCAGAGGTGCTCAGGGGATCATATAGGATGTCAGGGATCGAACCCTGGTTGGCCGCATGCAAGACAAGCGCCCTACCTTATGGACTATTGCTCCGGCCTCCTAGGTGGCTAATATTTATGACAGCTGCCTGTGGACTAGGTTCACTGCTTGGAGTTCTTATATTTTCTAGTGATTCTTACTCCGACTCCACTCGGACTTTAGAGTATAGCGCAAGTACTTGGATCCTTATGGCAGGGAAAGAAAGAGGCGTTTGGTGAGGTTTACACAGACCCTCTGAGTGTGGTTGGGTTCAGGCTCAGCCTGCAGGGTTAACCGAATCTTGGTCTTTGTCTTCTCTCCACAGGCACCCAAATTAGCCAAAAACTTCTGTGTCTGCCATTTAGCTACCGGGGACATGCTGAGGGCGATGGTGGCTTCTGGATCAGAGCTGGGGAAAAAGCTGAAGGCCACGATGGACGCCGGGAAGCTGGTAGGTGTGGGGTATCAGTGAGTATAGATATCTCCTCGGAATCTGAACCGGCACTAAAGTGGTAGCACCGCGTAGCTGTTGAAATCAGCTGAAGTTTAATTTAAAATTCCGTTTTGGGGGCCAGAGAGAGTACAGAAGTTAAGGTGCTTGCCTTGCGTGTGGCCAGCTGTGGTTACTTTCCCGGCACCACCTGTGGTCCCCCTAACCACCACCAGCGGAAAAGCCTAAGCATCTGGGCAGAGTGACAGTAGCGGGTGGGGGGCTTACCTTGCACACAGCTGACCCTGGTTCAATTCCCTGTATCATATGGTTCCCTGAGTCCCCAGGAGTGAGCCCTGAGCACAGCTGGGTGTGACACAATAAACAAACAAAGAGAAAACCCTGAGCATAACCCCACCTCCGCTCCTCACCATCCTACCCCCCAAAAAATTCTGTTTCAGTCCAGAAAGATTGTACCTGAGGTGAGACACTTAACCTCTTCTCTGGATTGATCCCTGCATGTGGTATCCTGAGTACCACCAGGGGTCACTCATGAGCACCGAGTCAGGAATAGCCCTAGAGAATGCCAGCTATGTCCCCAGCCACCCCACCCCCAAAATAAATTTAAAGTCAAATTTTGTGTCTGAGTCGTAGTTGCCACATTTCACATTTTCATCAGCCAACAACGATACAGAACTTAGCTTTTAAAACTCTCATGACCCTATACAGCACCACATAACAACATGGGGAGATCCCCAAAAAATAGGCAGTCGTGGGGGGCTGGAGCAGTAGTTCAGCTGGCAGGACACTTGCCTTACACACAGCTGATCCGGGTTCTATTTCTGGCTCCCCATTTGGTCCCCTGAGCCCACCAGGAGTGATCCCTGAGCACAGAGGCAGGAGTAAACCCTAAGCATGACCCATGTGGCCCAACATGCCGGCCACAAAACAAAACAAGCACTTAAAGTTGGCCATGGTGAAAGGTTTCTGCATGGACAGCGACCAGAAAGGAATTCAAAACTAACTGCAGAGAAGGTGATGGTGGCACAGTAGGCTGTGCACACAGCAGGCAGGAGGCTCAGGCACAGTTGGGCACCACAGTCCCCACGCTTACAGCTCGGGGTGGGGGGGGGCCAACACAGCTGAATATATACCCTCTGCCTTTTCCCCCCACCCCCCCCAAATCACTATTACTCCGTTGTTCTTCAATTTGCTCGAGTGGGCCCAGTAACGTCTCCATTCGTCCCTGTCATGTGCAAGTGTGGCTTGATGACATATAGGGGGCTCCTTCAGGATCAGGGGAATGAGGACCATGCATTGTTACTGTTTTTGACATATTGAGTACGCCACGGGTAGCTTGTCAGGCTCTGCCTCCATCCATCTCGGAGAGCCCGGCAAGCTACCAAGAGTATCCCGCTCGCCCCCCCACCCCCAAAAAAAATAAAACAAAAAATGAGCCAAAGTAACCTCATAATGAATCTTGTGGGGGAGGGCCAGAAGAGGGATGGAGTCACTCCTGGTTGTGCCCGGGGTTGCTCCTGGCTCAGTGTGCAGGGATCACTCCTGGCAGTGCCTGGGAGTCTTGGGTAAGAAAATTCAAGAGCCTTGCTCAGGAACCATTTCATCATCACAAAAAGTTCCAGTGGACCGACTTGTGCTTTCAGGTATTAACAAACTGACAGAGTATATAAACTTTTTGACTAACAGGTTATTTGCTTAGTTCTAAATTTACAGCATTTATTTTACTTGGTTTTCTCACAGATTCTTGGTGCTAATGCGTTTGGTACTCTACGTGGTTTTCAGAGCCAGAAACAGGATTGCCATTCGAAAGCCAAAAATCAGAGCTGAATCTGCGAGGCCTTAGGAAACCACTCAGGGTGTCTAACCTACTTCAGCGGCTTGGTCTCCCCATGGAGGCACTTGCCATATGATCCTTCCCAGTTGCGGGATATAATAGTGTTTTTTCTCTTGGTTTTAGGCCAGTTGGTCTCATCGGACAAACACAGTTTGTCAGTCTATGAAATCTTTGATTAGTGCTAGTGCTCAATTGTAACTGGGACTTGTAACAGAGATTCTGGGGGTTGTTTGAGCATCATAGTAGCCATTTTGAGCACGGCCTCCTGGTCTGTGGTTGGGGAAAGTTCTGGATGTTGCCCCCACCCCCTTCTTACTTCCTACTAGGCTTTGAGATTCTGTAGCTCTATCAGATGGTACCCGTGCCCCTCTGCTTCTGGCTTTCAGTTCCTACTAGTGAGGCCTTGAATTGAACCAAAAGCCAAATATTTTGGACTTTGGTTCTTGGCAGAAGAAGATCCTGTGCTGAGAGAAAAATTGGGATGTGGCAATGAGATTGCTTATCTTGGGCTTTCACTTAGTCACAGAGCTTATACACTGTCCCTAAGTTCACAGCTGGTCCAGGAGATAAGAGCTACCAAGCTACTGAAACGAAGAACCTTCACTATTGGGCGGATTGGGAAGAAGATTCAGCAGGAAACTAGTGTCTAACAGCCAGCCCGAGTCTTCACAGGGTGGCAGAAATGGGTTGGGTTGGCTCCTCAGTGCCTTGGTTCTGACCCAAACTTACCAGTTCATGAACTTGTATGGCCTCACGTTTTGGCTATCTTGGGCCTTACTTCACTATGAACGTCACAAAACCATGAGTGAATTTGAAGCTGAAGAAAACAACTCATTGGGTCTGCCAGTTCTGGCCCTTGTTTTTTGGTGGGGGGTCACACCTGGTGGTGCTCAAGGCTTACTTCTGGCCTAGGTTCAGAGATCCCTCCTGGGAGTGCTCAGGACTGTATGTGGTGCCAGGGATCAAACTAGGGTGCAAGGCAAGACCTGCTGTACTGTCTCTCCAGGCTCCTATATGCTGAGGGGTTTTTTTGTGGTTTTTTTTTTTGTATTTTTTTGAGGGGAGGTATATACCAGCTGGTGCTCAGGGGTGGTTTCTGGTGGTGCTTGGGGGACCATGCAGTGCTAAATCCAATCCTCATCTCCCCAGCCCTAGTTAACAGATTTAAATTCAATCTTTTTGTGTTTTTTAGTTTGTTTTGGGTTTGGGGATTACCCAGTGGGTGCCCAGGCAACCAGTGCTCAGAGGACTGTGGTGCCGGGGATTGAACCTGGGCCTTAACTCACGGTTATTTTCTCCTTGACATCCAGGTGAGTGATGAAATGGTCGTCGAACTCATCGAGAAGAATTTGGAGACCCCACCATGCAGAAACGGTTTCCTCCTCGACGGCTTCCCTCGGACCGTGAAGCAGGCAGAAATGGTAGGTGCGGCGTGCACGCCAGCGCTGGCCTTCGGGGTCCGGCCTCCTGCCCCAGTGGCTGAGGTGGGCTGCGCTCTCTTTCAGCTCGATGAGCTCATGAAGAAGAGGAAAGAGAAGCTGGATTCTGTGATCGAGTTCAGCATCCCCGACTCTCTGCTGATCCGGAGGATCACAGGAAGGTATCTGTCCCCGGAAAGCCCCTTCGCTCCCTGCTTCCTCATCTCGGCTGGGCTGCGGGAACGGCACGCGCGTGGGCTCACAAGACACAGCGCGTGTGCCGTTTCCGGACAGATCGTTCTTGTTTGGTGAAGTTCCCTAGAGGGGCGGGGGGTGGCCGGGGAAGGGGATTTGAGAAACAAGAGCTAGGAATTTTTGAAGTCAAGACAGCCCCGCGGCGCTGTCACCTTCTAGTTGTGACTCTCAGCCAGTTTCTTAACCTTTTCAAGGCCATTCTTCCTCACATGTGGAGAGCCCTGCTTTGCAGAACTGTCGCAGCACGGCGAGGTGGTTGCCTGCTCAAGCATGTGCCTCAGAGGGGAGGCTGGAACCGCACGCACACAGAGCGCTTATTAGAGTAGAGAGAAATGCTCGTTTTTGATGTCTACACCTCTGCTGTAGCGCTCTTTTTTTTTTTTTTTTTAATTTTTTTATTAGTGAAACACCATGAGGTACAGTTATAGACTTACAAATTTTTGTGCTTGGGTTTCAGTTATACAATGATCAAGTACCCATCCCTCCACCAGTGCCCATCCTCCACCACCACGGGTCCCAGCATCCCCCCCATCCCGTCCCACCCTGCCTCTGTGGCAGGGTATTCCCCCTTGTTCTCTCTCTCTTCTTTTGGGTACTGTGTTTTGCAAGAGAGGCATTGAGTGGCAATCATGTTTGGTCTATAGACCACTTTCCGCATGCCTCTCCCACCCTGGGAGGGTCCTCACAACACCCTTTATTTTGTAGCGCTCTTTTAAAATCCACTTTGTTGGAGTTGCTGGAGACGTTCGTGATGGTGTCGGGATGGTGCCCTCAGCTGTGGTGCCCCACACAGCCTGACTCCGAAGTATCGTTATCTGTCCTGACTTTAGACAATGGGGGGAAATGTGCACTTGAACAGCCTCTTTAGCCAAAAGTTCTGTTGAGTTTTCTTTTGTTTTGGTTTGTTTTTTTGTTTTAGAGTGTTTACAATAAAAGCTGGAGTGAGTATAGGGGTGGGGCGCTTGCTTGCTTTGCTCTGGTCCCTAGATCAATCCCCTGGAATTGAATTTAAGGTGCCCCCAAACACTTCCAGGAGTGACCACTGAGCCCAGAGCCAGGAGTAACCCCTGAGCCCGGCAGGTGCGACCCAAGCCACGACACCCCTCCCCTCGCTCCCCAGGTGTCCCAGGCGGGGGAGTGTGGACAACCCCGTCCAGATCCTGACACCCTCCCTGTCACCCTTCTCCCTCTCTGGGCCAGGCTTGGGGCTCAGTTTTGGACTGCACTTGAATCCCACTTTAATTTTTATTTATTTTGGCGTAATGTTCACGGTCTACTCCTGGCTCTGTGCTCAGGGGTCGCTCCTCCTAGTGCTTGGGGAGCCACGTGGGGTGCCGAGGATGTGAGTTACCCCCTGTACTCTCCCTCCAGTTCCCCTTTGTTTTCTTTCCTTTCTGTTCCTGGGAACTAGCCTGCATTCCCCTTGAAGTAATGTTCGCAGTGGGATGGGAGCAGGGTCGTGCTTGTCACAGGGAGCAGGGGCGGGTGGGGAGGGGGGACAGGGGACGTGAGGCTCCTAGGGACAACCAGAGAGGCCAGGAGGCAGCCTGGCTGATCTGGGCCCCATTTTTTTCTTCGGGTTTTGGAGCCACTCCTAGCCACATTGCTTGGGGCTTGCTCGTGACTCCGTGCTTGAGGGAAGCAGATGTGCCAGGGATCAAACTGGGGTCAGTCATGCGCAAGACAAGTGCCTTACCCTCGGGACTATCTCATGTCCAGCCCCGCCCACAGGGAAAACCTTAACTGGGTCCTCCCTTCCCTGGGTCTCCTGATGGCTGTACCCCTCCAACAGCGTGGGCACCTCACCGCCACCACCACTGCTAGGAGAGAACCTGAAAAATGTTCTTTTTAATAAAATAGTATCACGGGTGGGAGAGAGACAGGAAGGTGATCAGACGCAGCCAGCCCCAGTATGACCTGCAGCACCGCATGGCGTCCCCCGAGCTCTTCCAGGAGTGACCCAGTGACCCCTGAACTCAGAGCCAGCAGTACGTCTTGAGCATAGCTAGGTGTGGCCTCCAAACCCCAGTCGGGTAACTCAGCTTCCCAAGCTGATATGCTGACATAGCTGTGCCCTCCACCACGGCAACAGCTAGGCAGGCCTGGTGTGACCATAGCACCCCCGCAGAACATGCATCCCCAGTGTTGTTCAGATCCTTCTGGGACCATTGGGAAGCTGTGGCCCCACAGAGCTGGCTGAAGGAGTAGGCAGACCCGCCCTGGCACCCCTTCAGGTCTGTGCTGTATCCCTTCCACTCAGGAACACAGGCTTGTTGTCTGGGACGCAGCGCCCAGCCTGCATCTCGGTGCCAAACTGTTGCTGCTTAGTACGGCAGGTGGGGCTCTTGCCTTGCACGTGTCTGACCCGGGTTTGATCCCCGGAACCCCATATCGTCCCCCAAGCCCCTCCAAGAGTGATCCCAGAGTGCAGAGCCAGGAAGTAATCCTGAGCAATACTGTATTTGGCCTGAAAACTACAAAAAGAGAAATGTGGGTTTTTTTCTTTTTGCAGGGTGGGGGAACAGGCCTCCCAAGCAGGGGCCCCCCAGGGACCCTTTAGCCACGCCCAGTGATGCTTGGTCCTGTGGTGCCAGGGCCCAACCAAGCTGGGGGCCACTTGGGCCACCCTGGTGGAGGTGCTTGAGGAGGAAGCAGTACTGGGAATTGAACCCGGGGTCTCTGCCTGGGAGCTGTCTCAGAAATGAATCCTTCTTGGGTACTTGGTTCAGGACTCTTATTTCACGTGTCCTTTTTCCAGGGTTGTTAGTGTCGCCCTCCAGCAGTTGGACTCTTGAGTTCTGTTGTCTGGTGGGGTTTGTGTCCAGAGAGCAGCTGTTCCTAGAGCATCTTTCTCGTTTTTGTCATCAAATGAGGTTAAAAAACGGAGTCGGAGTCTGAGCACTGGCTCTGCAAGCAGGAGCCCCAGGCTCTGCCCCCAGCACCACCTGCTGCCCTGAGCACAGAGCCAGGAGTACCACTGCCCCCCAGCCCCAAGTAGGGGTGCTTCCTCTGTCATTTTGTCCACGCCTCGGAGTTGATCATCACTTTTCATTATTGTTCATTTCCTCAGTTCTCTCTCGCACTAAGTGGAGCTCCGCTAGGGTCGTGGCTCCTTTAGCAAAGGTTCAGCAAAGGTTTGTCAGAAGGATGGCGAGAATGAAACCTGAAACCAGCATGAGTCCCTTCTCTTCAGCCCAGGGGGAGGGGTCACACTCTTCAGCAGATGCTTAGAAAGTTGGATCAGAGTTACAAGATCTGTCGCTCAGAGGTCTGGAGTCCATGCTCAACCCCCAGCACCACATGGTCCCTGGATCTGCCAGGTGTGCACTGCCCTTCTCCCCCCCAAAATAATTACTCTTGGCATAAGCTCACTTGAAAGTCCAGTTGTTTCCTTTCTTTTTTTTTTTCTTCTTTCTTTTTCCATTTTGGGGCCATACCTGGCGGTGCTCAGGGATTACTCCTGCCTCTGTGCTCAGGGATCACTCCTGGCAGGGTTCAGGGAACCTTATGTGGTGCCAGGGATTGAACCAGGGTTGGCCACTTTCAAGGCGAGTGCCCTACCTGCTGAACTAACCAGTCCAAATCCGGTATTCTCTTAAGAGATGCCTGGGCTGGGTTCTCTGCTGGGCGACCGTCCACACCTTTAGGTTTCCATCCGGCTGCCCATTTTCTGGGAGACTGCAGGGGTGCAGGAAAGCTTGCACGCCCCCTGACTTGTGTCCACTTCTTTCAGGCTGATTCATCCAGCGAGTGGCCGTTCCTACCACGAGGAGTTCAACCCCCCGAAGGAATCCATGAAGGACGATGTATGTCGCCTCCGGACAGGACATTTCCTTCCTCTCCTCTTTCCTCCTTGGCTTACTCTTAACTTTGCTCCTCCTCATTCCTTCTTATTTCTACCAATACTGCTGATTTACCTGTGAGAAACATCCCTCCAGGGAATTTTCATGGGCCGTGGCTCAGCCACGGAGTCCCTGCTGACTGGAGGTGACTGCCGTGCCTGCTCGTTGCACGGCCAGTGTGTACCTGTTTCCTGATCAGCCCTTTTCTGGCACCCAGGCAGCCCGGGGAAATCTAATCAGAAGGAGGCTGTTGGGAAGCCTCGATGTAGATCCAGCGAGGGGCAGACAGTGTTGCAGAGGAGTTTGTTGACTGTTCTATCCCAGACCAGAGTCCTCTCCTTTAAGTGCTGTACTGCAGCCTGCAGATTCCCCGCCTGTCTGGCAATGGGTGAACATTGCCACGGTCTTAGAAGCACCTTCAAGTGCTTTCAGTGGTAAAGGGGGAGGATCTCGGGGCTAGAGAGATAGCACAGTGGGTAGGGGGTTTGCCTTGCACGCAGCCGACCCGCGTTCGATTCCCAGCATCCCATATGGTCCCCTGAGCACCGCCAGGAGTAAATCCTGAGTGCAGAGCCAGGACTAACCCTTGTGCATCACTGGGTGTGACCCAAAAAGCAAAAAAAGGGGGAGGGGGGAATCTCATTCCCATGCACTCCAGTGTTTTTCATTTCATCGAGACTTGAGCATGTAGGCACCATGGGAATTTCCTGAACTTACTTCTGGCATGTGAGTGAAGTCCATTAGGTCTTACAAACTCCAGAGCCATTACATCAGCTTGGGGCTCAGAGTGGTAGTACGACGGGGTGGGGCATTTGCCTTGCACGTGACAGACCCAGGTTCAATCCCCAACATCACATGCTCCTGCCGATCCCCAGGCACCAGTAGGAGTAATTCCTGAGTGCAGAGCCACCTTAGCCACTTCACAGAGTTGCCCGTTCAGTGTTTTCTTTTGTGTATCAATATCAATATTTTCAGGATATTGATAGCCAACGACCCTGGTAAAAATCATTAAGGTCAGGAAGCTAGCGCAGGGATTTGGGTAATCCCAGATTGAGCCCTGGCACTGCATGACCACCGCCCTCCCCCCCCCCCCCCCCCCAAACATCACAGGTGTAGCCCTGAAGGCACTGAGCACCACTGGGGTGGCCCAGCATCAAACCATCCTACCCATTTGGCTCAAATTTCACCATAAGTGACCCTTCCCCCACCCTCCCCCAGTACAACTTGAAAAAAACAAACCCAAAAAGGAAGCAATTAGTGTTATCATTGCTAATGCATCTCTTGTATTCCCCCTCTTATCTTCCCTGAAGCTGATCCTAGAAGTGTTTGGAAGCGGAATAGCTGGAGCAAATAGCTGGGGCTTTGCCCCTCCCTGAGTCCCTTTCCTTACGGTGGCTGTTTTAGGCGCCCCCAGGTCTCAGGATCAGCTTCTGGGGCCAGCTTCCCGAGAGTCCCAGTTCTGTTAGGAAGGGCTGGTCTCCAATGGACTGGGAGCTAACAGCACCTCAGACTTCCCGTCCTGGCCTGTTACACGTCTTCCTCTTCACAGATCACGGGGGAGCCGCTGGTCCGTCGATCAGACGATAATGAGAAGGCCTTGAAGATCCGGCTGGAATCCTACCACACGCAGACCACCCCCCTCGTGGAGTACTACCGCAAACGGGGCATCCACTCTGCCATCGACGCCTCCCAGACCCCTGATGTCGTCTTCGCGAGCATCCTAGCAGCCTTCTCCAAAGCCACATGTAAAGACCTGGTTATGTTTATCTAATGTGGGGTTGGAGAGAGTCCTTTCCTCTTCCTGTTCACGTGGGGGGAGTGGTGGGGACGGCAGAGCAGACAGAGGGGCTTCCTCAGGCCAGCAAGAGTGTCACCTTATGTCCTGATTAAAAGCACTTGCTTCATGGATCTTTGGTGTGTGTGCCACTCTCATCGCATCTGTATCTGTGTGTGTGTGTGTGTGTGTGTGTGTGCGCGCGCGCACACGCGCGTACGCATGAGAACGTCCTGTGAGTGAGTGCCTAGATACTCTTACTTCCTGAGTGACAGTTAGGTGACTTTTCTACTCTGTACTTTGTCCACACTCTTAATTTTTCCCATATCTGCCAGGCACCCCAGTTTTGCTCCGGCTAATTAGAAGTTCAGGGTTATGTGAAGTCAAACTGGGCCAACGTTTCTTTGTTTGGTTTGATTTTGGTTTTGGTTTTGTTTTGGGACCACACCAGGCAGTGCTCAGGACTTAGTCCTGGCTCGGTGCTCAGGGATACTCCTGGTAGTGCTCGGGGGAACCAACCATACATGGTACTGGGGGCTGATCCCTGCTTGACCATGTGCGAAACAAACACCCGACCCACTGTACTGTATCTCCAGCCCGCAAAAAATAAGCCGCGTGGGTCAGTGAGAGGATAGGGATCATTCCTTTTCCCCCCCTATATGGAAGGGAAAAGGCACTTACATTACAGATTTCAGAAATTTCTGGGAAGAGGAATAACGTAGAAAGAGTCTGGTTCATTAAAATACTTTTTTTTTTTAATTTGAATCATAATGCTATAAAGTAATTTGTTTGGTACCTGTATTTGAAAAGTGAATTGTCACCCCAGAAATAAAAGGTGAAAGGTGCTTTTGAATTCAGCCTGTCTTCTGCACATCCAGACAGGGCAGCCGAGAACAGTTATTCCTTTGTCAGGGAGACTGGGGTCGGTGTGCTTTTCTGTCTGCTTTTTTTTTTTTTTTTTTTCCATTTTTTGGGTTTTTGATTGTTGTTTTTGGGTTATACGTGGTGAGTTCAGTGGATTACTAAGCTCTGTACGCAGGGATGGATCACTCCTGGCAGTGCTTAGAGGACCCTGGTTGGCAGCGTGCAAGGCATATGGCCTACCCACTGTACCTTTTCTCTGACCCTGGTATGCTTTTATTTCTAGTGTTTGCTTTGTTTCCAACTGGAACAAAATAGTGATCAGAGGTGATCCTTCTTGTTTTTTTGTTTGATTGTGTTTTTGGTTTGGGGGCCACACCCAGCACTGGTTTTTGACTTGCTTCTGGCTCTGTACTCAGGAATCAGTCCTGCTGGCCCCCCATTTGGGGTTCCAGGGATCAAACCCGGGTTGGCTGCATGCAAGATAAGTGCCCTCCCTGCTGTACTCGTTTTGCTCCCTCTTTCTTTTTTATTAGAATTTAGCACACCCACCCTGTCTCTAGATGATAAAACTCAAGTCATTTGATTCCCTTTTAAATTTGACCTTCTTTCCAGATCCACCCTTTACATACGGTGGTGGCCAGACTCGCCAAGAAACAGCCCCCCCCCCCCAATAAAACTCCCAATGCAATAGCCAGATTTTATCCCTCCCCGATTACAGAATGTTTCCCAGGGCCCATGTGGTACTGCTTGTTCTCAGGTGTGGTTTGTGGCCATCGTGAATCAGCAGACTGCTGTGAGGGCCCACAGGAACAGCTTCTAGAAAAACCATTAGAGTCGGTGGCAGCTCTGCTAGCTCTGCCGCCTGCTGACGCAGCACAGTGCCAGTCCCCGTCTGGTCTGACCTCTCATCTTGCCCAGGGAACTCCCCGAGCCTGCGCCCCTTCTGCTGGAAGCTGGGTGCACGTTGGTAGCCCTCCTGCTTCCCTCTGTCTGGTTCGAGTGAGTGTCTGCTGCTCTGCTCTGCCTGCATGCCTGCCTGTAAACTTACCTCCGTCCTGTCTTAACAGTAACCCAGTCTGGGGAGGGCCGTCCTGGGGAGCACATGACTTCCGGGAAGGGGTGAGGGAGAGGAGTGAAACCAAACCGTCAGTCCCTGCAGGGATCTGGGATCCCTCGCAGAGTGAGGATGGCTGCCTTTGAGTCTTGTTGCCGGCTTCCCTTTGGGGATCGTGGCGGGCTCTTGGCCTCATTGTTGAAGCCCACGAATGTTTGCTAATGGAAGGTGCGTGATCCTCGCTCCGGTCCCCGTCATCCAGCCACCTACGTACGCTCACGGGGACACATGGGCACACGGGCACGTGCTTGGGCATCTGGACTGCCAGTAAGAAGTAGCAGGTCCTGACGGGGTGTGCATGCCCTTCAGGGAAGGGGGGCGGTTAGTTAGTATTTGAATTTTGCTTCCTTGAGTTCAACCAGCAGTGAGCGCTTCACCCTGGCAGAGAAATGCCCAGTGAGTGTTGAATGCCTTCAGTTGCTGGGACATGCTTTCCTGCCTTCTCTGATCCTGGTGTTTACCAACCCGTTTTGTTCTCTCTTGTTTCCTCTCTATTTCAGCCTAGTAACAGAAGGCCAGGCGAGACCACCACTGCTCATCACCCCTCGGCGTGATCCCTGCTCTTAGGTGCTGGGCGGAGGGCAGGGGTGGGCAGGGTGAGGCCGGGGAGGGAGGAGTGGCGAGGCATCGGGAGGAGGGGTAGGGGAGCAGCAGTGTTGTGATGAGCCTTCTACAGACCACAGTGGGAATCTTGACAAGTACTGACAATTGTTTTGGAAAGCCGATTGGAGGGTAGGAGTAGAACTAGGGAGACGCAGTATTACTTCGAAGGAATCATGGTTTCACGTCCTCTGGACTGGTCACTGTATGTTTTTAAGCAATACCTTGCGGCCTCAACTTTGATCTCCGAGCCTCATGGGCTGCCAGCTCAGGAGTGCAGGAGAGCGAGTCTTCCTGTCTCCCCGTACCTTGGAACAGGGAGGGTTGATGCCCCACCTCGCTATCCATGCTGTGAGGTCTGAAAAAATCATCTCCACATGTGAAAGTGATCCTTGGGTGTGTTCTGGGGGCAGCAAGACTCCCGATCAAGTTTACTAGAGTCGATGGGGTGCAGATAGGCCTCACTGCCCTCCGACTTAACACTTATTGACCAATCTACCTGTCCCAGTGGGGGAGCTTTCAAGAGCCCCCCCATCCACCCCTGGCACCTGCCATGATCCTCTGCTCTTGCCTCTGTCCATGGTGTATGAAAAGACTCTTCAGTAACTCAGCAGGTGTGCTTACAGCAGCATCCAAAGATTGTCTTTTCCACCCTCGAATTCTGTGACTGGGATCGCTCGACAGCTCTGTGACGTATTTTCAATGAGGTGCCTTTCCTAACGGACCAAATGCTGCCTTGTTTTGGCCCCTACTTCAATAAAGTCTATTAAAAGTTTGTACCCCCGGTGGTGGTATTTCTGTTTTAGGGGATCTGGGCTGCAGTGACCTTGGGCTCTGGATCTGGCCCTGAAGTCCTTTCTTGCAGTCACTGGAAGTGAAGAGGGAGCCGTCATCAGAAGAGGAGCCCGCACCCCCTGGCCTGGAGCCTATATATAGTCGGGCATTTCTCAAACCCAGGGGCAAAAGAAGTGTGATCTTGGGCGTTTGAGGAATGTGAGTGCCAGCCACTCATAGAATTCAGACCTGTTACCTCATTGGAACAGAAAGGTCAGTGATGGGGCTGGCGCAGTAGTACAGTGGGTAGGGCACTTGCCGTGCATGTGGCCACCCCGGATTCAACCTCATGATCCCCTGAACCCTGCCAGGAGTGATCCCTGAGCACTGCCCAGGTATGCCCCCTCTGCCCCCCAAAACCCTCAAAAGTTAGTGGTGTCACCCTCACAAACATTTTGGCATTAAATGAGATTTACAACAAGGTCTTTGCTTGGTGCCTGGCACACAGCAGACCCTGGATAAATTCTCTTTGGGTCTGAATATGTACAGGGAAATCATCTACCTTTGCCGTCCGGACCAGTGTAGCGTGGACAGTGGCGGACAGCCCGCAAAGCCAGCACTGCTGATGCCGCCTGAGCCAGAGCTTTGGCTGCCGTTCCAGCCGCCTGTTTTGCACTGTTGGTTGCTTCTTTGTAAAGCCATTTTCTTCCTCAGCAAAAACGAGCTTAAATTGTTTGTGCAAACTGAAGCGCTCATTCTCTCATTCTCTTCGGAAGGGCTGTGATGCCAGTGAGTTTTCTGAGAAATGACGAGTGTTCCCGAAACCAGAGGAGGCACATGGTGTTCTGGTTCCAGAGAGGGCCAGCAACGTCATCCCCAGCATCGTAACTCTCACTCCCAGCTGACCGCCGTCCTCTGCCTCCCACCTCGGACATTCCCCTTCTGCGGCCACTGGGCTGGCTTGTCTGATCTCTTCCGGGCCCTGCTGTTGAAATACCCTTAGGAAAACTCCCTTTGTTTCTTATCATCCACAACAAACTGGGACTTCTTGGAGGCTTCTGGAGGGATCACTTGGTGTCTTGAAAAACTAAACTCTTACAACCTTCCTTGAATTTGCTTTTATCGATAACTAGAAGCCTAGGTTGGATAAAGTACAGTGACCTCACTCAACCTTCACAACACACTCCAGAGGGTCAAGTGGTCAGAATGCCCTCCTCTTAGCTAACAGGATGAAACCAAGAGTGCAAGAAAGGGACAAGGGTTTTATTTATAGGAGAAGGGTTTTCCACCCACGGGCTGACGTGGGAGCCCTGGTGCTAAAGGGGTGGGCTGACTTCTGCACATTCTAGATGAAAGCTTTTTCTTGTTTTGGTTTTGGGTGTCATACCGCTATGCTTAGGGCTTACTCCTGACTCGATTCAGAAGTTACTCCTGATGGTACTCAGGATACACCATAGGCAAAGACGAGGGTCGGCTGCACACAAAGCAAGCGCCTACCCCGCAGGACTAGTTCTATGGTCTGGAAGTTCTTTTTTCCATGGACACTTAACACACCAGAGCTGATCCAGAAGTCTCTGCCTGCCTGAGGCTCCAGAGCATGTTGTCTTAAGATCTCTGGTGCATCAAGTATTAGAGTGGAATGAAGAACCACCCTGTGCCAGTCTTGGGAGACAGTTAATTGAGCCAGGAGATTGCAGCGGCAGCTCCACTGCCATGGATGGCAACTTGGCAGCGTGGAGGTGCTCCCTGCCCTCAGGCACCCAGTACACAGCAGGTGCTCGG